TATACTTAATTATATTGATGTATAGTTATATAACTATGTAAAATATACTATTACAAATATAGTTTATCAATATATAGTATACCAATTTCAGTTAACAGAAATATCCCAAATGGTAATAATTTTCTAGCTAGACTGACAAATTTTTTTCTCAGTGCAAAAAAGTTTACTGGTCCTATGATGTTGCAGGCAGGTCTCCAACTCCTGGTGCTGCTCCTGTGTTTATGTTATGCTACCTACCAAAAGGAATTTGGCTGGTAATTTCCTAATGAATGAAGGTTACTAGTCATTTGAATTTTTTTTTTTTTTTTTGAGATCGAGTTTCGCCCTGTCGACCAGGCTGCAGTGCAGTGGCGTGATCTTGGCTCACTGCATCCTCCGCCTCTCTGATTCAAGCGATCCTCCTACCTCAGTCTCCTGAGTAGCTGGGATTATAGGCACCCGCCACCATGCCTAGCCTCATTTGGCTTTGAAAGACAAAACTGTGTGCAATCCCAGCATTTTGAAAGGCCGAGGTGGGTGGATCACTTGAGGTCAGGAGTTCAAGACCAATCTGGCTAACATGGTGAAACCCTGTCTGTACTAAAAATACAAAAATTAGCCAGCATGGTGGTCCGTGCCTGTAATCCCAGCTACTCGGAAGGCTGAGGCAGGAGAACCACTTTAACCCTAGAAGTGGAGGTTGCAGTGAGCAGAGATTGCACCACTGCACTCTAGACTGGTATATATATGGCCAGATGTGGTGGCTCATGCCTGTAATCCCAGCACTTTGGGAGGTCGAGGTGGGTGGATCACGAGGTTAGGAGTTCAAGATCAATCTGGCCAATATGGTGAAACCCCATCTCTACTAAAAACACAAAAATTAGCCGTGTGTGGTGGTGTGCCCCTGTACTCCCAACCCACTAGGGAGGTAGAGACAGGAGAATCACTTCAATCCAGGAAGCAGAGGTTGCAGTGAGCCAAGATCACACCACTGCACCCCAGCCTGGTCAACAGATCAAGACTGTCTCAAAACAAACAAACAAAAGAAAACAAAAAACTGATGTGGATGGTGTGCCTGCTGCTCCTTGCATCACCTTCAACACTGTCTTGTACCGATTAAAATGAGTTATCCATTTACAAACTGTTTATTTCTTTTGGGCACCATCTCCATAACGTTTTCATAAAGCATCAATGATTATTCCTCTTCCCAAACTTTCCCACAATTATTCTTTTATTGAGACAGTATCTTGCTCCGTCACCCATGCTGGACTGCAGTGGCATGACCACAGCTCCCTGCAGCCTCAACCTCCCAGGCTGAAGCCATCCTCCCACCGCAGACTCCACAGTAGCTGGCTCTGCAGTCATATGCCACCATGCCCAGCTAATTTTTGTATTTTTTGTAGACAAGGTGGTTTCACCATGTTGCCCAGGCTGGTCTTAAATACCTGGGCTCACGTGACCCACCTGTCTTGGCCTCTGAAAGTGCTAGGATTAACCGCCTGAGATACTGCATCTGATCTCATCATAAATTTGATGTTTCTTCTTGTTTCAATTTTAGCAGAATTTATATTGCTTTGATAGAATCTCTTTTCAAACTCATGTCTTATCCTTCTGAGTGCCTTAAACTAGAGCCTGTTCAGACATGTTATAACAGATTTGTACCAGTTTATTTTGGTGAAAAACTGTGAAATTCATGCAAAATTTTCTCAAAATACTTATTTTTCCATGAATTTCTCCAAGATTGCTTGCACTAGAAAACTGTATTCAAGAGGACATTAAAAAAAATTGTAGATATTCACGTGACACTTATTTCTGGGATGCAAGGATGGTTCAACATATTCAAGCAAATCAATGTGATATGCCACTTGAACAGACAGAAAGATGAAAACCACATCATCTTAATAGATGGAGAAAAATCATTTCACAAAATTCAAAATCCAGTCATCATAGAAATCCTAAACAAAATAGATAGAAAAGGAAATGTACTTCAACAATAGAAAGACCATCTGTGAAATGACCAATGAGTAAATAGTCAAGCAGGGAAAATGGAATGCTTTTCCTGTAGGATCTCACATGATGCAAAGAATGCTCTCACCCCTTTTATTCAATCAATACTGGCTGTCCTAGCCAGAGCAGTGAAATAGCAGAAGAAATAAAACTCATCCAAATCAGAAAGCAAGAAGTAAAATTATATTTGTTTATAGATGAAACGATCTTCTGTGTAGAAAATCACAAAGAGTCAACCAAAATACTACTGGAACTAGGTAACATATTCAGTGGATTTGCACAATACAGTATCAGCACCAAAAATTAGTTGAATTTCCATACTTTAACAATAAAAAATTTTAAAAGAAAATTTTTAAACACTTCCATTTGCTGGAGAACGTAAAGTAAGAAATACTTAGAAATAAACTTTAAAAGCTCAGAAGTTCATACCTTGAAATCTACAAACATTGATCAAAATGATTAAAAACAGAGCTACAACCCATATTGATGTTTTGGGAAAATATTGTTAAATGATTATATAACTCAATGTGATTTAGATTCAACACAATACCCATAAAAATCCCTATCAGTTTTTTTTTTAAAGAAACAGAAAACAGGCTGGGAAAATGGCTCACGTCTGTTGGCCAGGTTGATCTCAGATTCCTGACCTCAAGTGATGTACCTCCCTTGGCCTCACAAAATGCTGAGATTACAGGCAGGAGCCAGGGCCCAGCCCAATCCTTTTAACATAAACACTTTAATTTCAATTAATGCTTGAACTCAATGTTAAATCAACTCAACTCAATGCTGAATTGACTCTAATGTCAATTAATGCTTAACGGTTTGCTCTACTGATTGCATTTGGAACAACTACCTCCAAAATGAATTTTCTGATGTTCTGCAAGGAGTAAACTCAGATTGAAGACCTTGGCACATTGATGACATTTGTAAGATTCCTGTCCAGTATGCATTCTCTGACGCCTAATGACGTGTGAACGTAAAGTAAAGGCTTTGCCACAATCATCACACTTGTGAGGTTTCTCTCCTATGTTTCGCATAGAATGAAACTTGACTGAAGACCTTGCCACAATCATGACATTTGTAAGGTTTCTCTCCAGCATGAGTTCACCAATGAACTGCAAGGTATGAATGATGTCTGAAAAATCTGCCAAATTTATTACACTAGTATGATCTCTCTTCATTATGGATTCTCCAATGATTTGCAATGGTTGTAGCATTACTGAAGACTTTGTGACAATCATTACATCAGTAAAGTTTCCCTACACCATGAATTGCCTGATGGTAAACAGGTGTTGACTGTCCACTAAAGACTCTGTCACACTCATTACACTTGTAAGGTTTCTCTCCAGTGTGAATTCTAGGATGTTGTGCCAGGTGCAAATCATACCGGAAAGCTTTGTCACAAACTTACATTTCTATGGTTTCTCTCTAGTATGAATTCACCTAGGTCCTTCAAGGTTTGATGTGCAACTGAAAACTTTGTGACATTCATCACATTTGTAAGCTTTCTCTCCAGTATGAATTCTCCTGTCTCTCGAGGCTTGATTGGCAACTGTAAACTTTGTCACGTGCTTCACATTTCTAAGGTTTCTCTCCAGTATGAATTCTATGATGACGTGCATGGTGTGCCTGTTGATTAAAAACCACGCCATATTCATTACACTTGTAAGGTTTCTCTCCAATATGAATTTTCTTGTCTTTCAAGGCTTGATTTGTGACTAAGCTTTTTTCATGATTTACATTTCTAAGGTTTATCGCCAGGATAAATTGTATGATGACGTGCAAGCTTTGCTTTTCGATTCAAAACCCTTTCACAGTCACTACACTTGTAAGGTTTCTTTCTAATATGATTTCTAGGACTATAAAGGTTTGATTTGAATCTGAAAGCTTCATCACATTCTTCACATTTGTAAGGTTTCTCTCTAGTATGAGTTCAAGGTATGAATGATGTCTGAAAAGTTTGCCAGTTTTATCACACTTCTAAGATCTCTCTTCATTATGGATGCTCCAATGATTTGCAATAGTTGTAGCATTACTGAAGACGTGGTGACAATCACTACATTTGTGAAGTGCTGACTGCCCATGAAAGGCTTTGCCACACTCATTACATTTGTAAGGTTTCTCTCCAGTATGAAGTCTACGATGGCGTGTAAGGTATGACTTCCGACTAAACATCTTACCACACTCATTACACTTGTAAGGTTTCTCTCCAGTATGAAGCCTACGATGGCATGTAAGGTGTGACTTCTGACCAAAGGTCTTGCCACAGTCATTACACTTGTAAGGTTTCTCTCCAGTATGAAGTCTACGATGGTATGCAAGGTATGACTTCTGATTAAACGTTTTGCCACACTCATTACACTTGTAAGGTTTCTCTCCAGTATGAAGACTATGATGGCGTCTAAGGTACGACTTCTGACTAAAGGTCTTGCCACACTCATTACACTTGTACAGTTTCTCTCCAGTATGAATTCCCCTATGTATTACAAGGCTTGATTTGAAACGGAAAGCTTTGTCACATTCTGCACATTTGTAAGGTTTCTCTCCAGTATGAACTCTACGATGGTATGTAAGGGATGATGTCCGGCTAAAGGTCTTGCCACACTCATTACACTTGCAAAGATTCTCTCCAGTATGACTTTTCCGATGTATTTCAAGGTTTGATTTGAAACTGTAAGCTTTGTCAACTCAAAGGTCTTCACACTCATTGCACTTGTACAGTCGCATATGAATTCATGTATTACAAGGCTTGATTTGAAACGGAAAGCTTTGTCACATTCTGACATTTGGCTTCCAGTATGAACTCTACGATGGTATGTGGGCGGGATGATGTCCGAAGCAAAGGTCTGCCACACTCATTACACTTGCAAAGATTCTCTCCAGTATGACTTCGGCTGGCGATTTCCAAGGTTTGATTTGAAACTGCTTATTACAGCTTTCCAGTATGAAGTCTACAATGGCATTTAAGGGTTAACTGTTGATTGGAAGGTCTTATCACCCCCATTACACTTGCAGCCTTCCAGTATGAAGTTTCACGAGGGATGACTTCAGACGGAAAGTCTTGTCACACCTGGCATTACACTTATAAGGTTTCTCTGTGCAAGGAAGTGTGTACGATGGCATATATAAGGGATGACTTAACAAAGGTCTTGCCACATTCATTACAGTTGTAACAGTTTCTGTCCAGTAAGGAATTCTCCTGTCTTTCAAGGTTTGATTTCCTACCGAAAGCTTTGTCGCATTCTTCACATTTGTAAGGTTTCTCTCCAGTATGACGTCTACGATGGCATGTAAGGGTTAACTCCTTACTGAAGGTCTTTCCACATTCATTACACTTGTAAGGTTTCTCTCCAGTATGGAGTCTATGATGGCGTGTAAGGGATAACTGCTGACTGAAGGTCTTGCCACACTCATTACACTTGTAAGGGTTCTCTCCAGTATGAAGTCTATGATGGCGTGTAAGGTATGACTTCCGACTAAAGGTCTTGCCACACTCATTACACTTGTATGGTTTCTCTCCGGTGTGAATTCTCCTATGTCTTTCGAGATTTGATTTGAAAGTGAAAGTTTCATCACAATCTTCACATTTGTAAGGTTTCTCTCCACTATGAAGTCTACGATGGTATACAACAGATGACATATGACTAAAGGTCTTGCCACAATCATTACACTTGTAAGGTTTCTCTCCAGTATGAATTTTCCGATGTCTTTCAAGGTTTGATTTGAAACTGTAAGTTTTGTCACATTCTTCACATTTGTAAGGTTTCTCTCCACTATGAAGTCTACGATGGCATGTAAGGGTTAACTCCTGACTGAAGGTCTTGCCACACTCATTACATTTGTAAGGTTTCTCTCCAGTATGAAGTCTACGATGGCATGTAAGGTATGACTTCGAACTGAAGGTCTTGTCACACTCATTACATTTGTACGGTTTCTCTCCAGTATGAATTCTCCTATGTGTTTCAAAGTTTGATTTGAAACAGAAAGCTTTGTGACATTCTTCACATTTGTAAAGTTTCTCTCCAGTATGAAGTCTACGATGGTATGTAAGGGTTAACTCCTGACTGAAGGTCTTGCCACACTCATTACACTTGTATGGTTTCTCTGCACTATGAATTCTCCTATGTCTTTCAAGGATTGATTTGAAACTGAAAGCTTTGTCACATTCCTCACATTTGTAAGGTTTCTCAACAGTATGAAGTCTACGATGGCATGTAAGGGATGACGTCTGACTGAAGGTCTTGCCACACTCATTACACTTGTAAGGTTTCTCACCAGTGTGACATCTACGATGGCATGCAAGATATTGCTTCCGATTAAAGACTTTGCCACATACATCACATTTATATTGTTTCTCTCCTAAATGGATTATCTGATGTTTCTTTAAGAGTGAGCTATAATTAAAGGTTTTGCCACTCTCATTACATTGGAAAGATTTTTCCCTCATGTGTACTTCCTGTTTCTGTGTGAGTAATGAAGAATTCCGGAAATTATTCCTATAGTTATTAGAAATATGAGTTTGGGGCCTACGAGAAATTCGTTGGGCTGTTGAAACTGAGGAAGCATCGTTGATAGACTTCTCAACTTGATTATCAATTTTCTCTTCCATCTGAAATATGTGCAGTTCAGGCAGATGCGAATGAAAGCTTGATCCAAGCTGATCTTTAATAGGCTTGTTTCCAGCATGCCTTTGATCATATCGGTCTGTACTACCTGTAAACTTTTTGATTTTTGTCATGGGTGCTTCATGGACAGTTCTTTCATCTTCTTGCCACTGAAACTCAAAGTTATGAATATCTTTACCAATTTCCTGGAAGCAAAAATCTCCAATGTGATGTCTTTCCAATGTCCTTGTGTGGATCACTTCTGTATTGCCTTGCGCTGTTGACAAGAAATCCTTCATCATGCATTTGGAAGAGATATCTACAAAATATAAACACCAATAGGTTTCCTATTAAGTACAGATGGTAAATCATACTGAAATGTGTAAATATGACACACACAAAAATACTTATTTTAAACTTCCCCAACAAGATCTTCAAAGTTTAGGAACACAAAAGCGTAAGATTCTTTAATAAATAAAGGGTAATTATATGTGCTTCAAATTATTTTTACGGAAGTGTATTTCCAATATCATAACAAAACACTGACAGGGCACAAACATGTGTAAGCCTAAAGTAAGGAGTATTTTTCCACTGTGACCCTAAAGTGTCTAACAGTTTGCAACAAACATATCACTGTCACATCAATGAAAAGTATATATTCTTCATATTTACAGCATATTTACTGTATACAAATAAATGCTAAAGGACCACACAATATACTATATTCATAAATAATCCACAACAAGCTCATGTAAGAATAATCAAAATCAATGGAAATTCTGTATTGTCAAACAATCATAGCACTGAGAAGATAAGAAAAGATTACAAAATTTAGCCAGGCGTGGTGGCCCACAACTGTGGTCTCAGCTGCTCAGGAGGCTGAGGCACAAGAATCATTTGAACCCAAGAGGTAGAGGTTGCAGTGAGCCAAGATTGCACCACTGTACTTCAGCCTGGGCGACAAAGTGAGGCTCCATCTCAAAAAAAAAGAAAGAAAAAAAAAGTTAATACAATGTTTTTCTGAATAACTGTCATAAAATTACCTATATCCATGCAGAAAAAGCAAGTTGTGACATTAAGAAAAAAAATTTAGTATTTTTAGTATTTTTATATTTTTGAGGTGAAGTCTCACTCTGTCGCAACAGGCTGGAGTGCAATGGCCTGATCTTGGCTCACGGCAACCTCCGCCTTTTGGGTTCAAGCTATTCTCCTGCCTCAGCCTCCTGAGTACCTGGGATTACAGGCACACACTACCATGCTTGGCTAATTTTTGAATTTTTAGTAGAGATAAGGTTTCAACATGTTGGCCAGGCTGGCCTCGAACTTTTGACCTGAAGTGCTCCACCTGCCTCAGCCTCCCAAAAGTCCTGGGATTGCAGGCATAAGCCACAGTGCCTGGTGGCACTTTGTGACATTAACTAGTGGACTCATGTCAGTTATATTGCTTACCACATACCAAAAAGCCTAATGTACAATCATAAAAATTAGTAAAATATTGTAACCCATAAAACTACCAAGCAAATAACAGGTACATTTATACAACCTGCAGAATTCTAAACAATTCCCTGTTAAGAAAAAAGCCACAACTTCTACTTACCACCAGCACACAATATATGAACTGAAATACCTGTTAAGATCACTACCTTCTGATGTATGAGGTCAAAAAAATACACAGCATTATAAGGAATAAGAAGTGACTAACGGCCTGTAGCGGTGGCAGATACCTGTAATCCCAGCACTTTTAGAGGCGGGCGGATCATGAGGCCAGAGTTCAAGAGTAGCCTGGCCAACATGGTAAAACCCCAACTCTACTGAAAATACAAAAAAATTAGCTGGCCGTGGTGGTGGGCACCTGTAATCCCAGGTACTCGAAAGGCTGAGTCAGGAGAATCATTTGAACCCGGGAGGCGGAGGTTGTAGTGAGCCGAGATCGAGCCATTGCACTCCAGCCTGAGCGACTTTGTCTCAAAAAAAAAAAAAAAAAAAAAAATTGACTAACAGTGTCGGAGGTTGCAATTACGATGTCACAACTACATTTATGGGACAGGCAATAGAGCAATTCTATATATATGCATTTCCCTTAGTTATCTAGTTCACTATGCATAAAATATAAAACATAGAATGTGTACTGGGAAAATATATAAACTGAGATCAGAGAAAACATTGTATAAAACAAATTGCACAATAAAACCATAAACAATATGATGCAGGCTCCCTGGTCTGAATGTTCTTATTGAACAAAAGCCACATTCAGAGTTCTTATTCTCCAATAGGATGTTCCTGCAAACAAAAGCCACATTCAGAGTTCTTATTCTCCATGAGATGTTCTGCAGATGGGGCCTTTGAGAATTTGGTCATGGGAAGGAACATCATAATAGGACTTTGCTTACAAAAGATATTAAAAGAGTCTACTGTCTGTTCCTCTTTCCACCATGCTTAACAAGGTAGTGAAGATGGCTGGGCTAAACCATGAAGAAGGCTCTCTACCAGGAACCAGAATTGGCTGGCATCTTGCTCTGGATTTCCCCACTTTCCAAATTCATGAGAAATAAATTTCTGTGTGTCTGAAGCCCAGTTTAAGAAGCTATTTCATTTTTGCTGTACGAGACTGAGTCAGCTGCCTATCACTCAGCCTGGGAGTGTAGCGGCAGGATTCTCCAGCCTCAAGAGACTTCCACCTCAGCCCAGAGTCTCACTTTGTTTCCGCCCAGACTGGAGTGCAGTGGGCAATCTTGGTCACGCATAACCTCCACCTCCTGGGTTCAAGTGATTGTCCTGCTCCTCAGCCTCTCTGATTACTTGGGATAACAGTCAAAGGCCACCATGCCCAACTAATTTTGTACTTTCAGTAGAGACAGAGTTTCGCTAGTGTTAGCCAGGCTGGTTTTGAACCTGACCCCAGGTGATTTGCCTGCCTCGCCTCCCAAAGTGCTGGGATTACAGACTTGAGCCTCGGGGTACAAGAATCGCTTTGAGCCTGAGAGGCGTTGCTGGCTTCGGTGAGCCAAGATCGCACCACTGCACTGTAGCCTGGGCAACACAGTGAGACTCCGCTATAAACAACAACAAAAAGTAATTAAGAAAGGAGTCAAAGCACACCCACACAAAAAGCAATTAAAACACAAAGTAGGAAATGAGAAATGAAGAAGGAAAAACTCTGGTACAAGAAATACAGATAATATGTAACAAAAACGTAACGGCAAGGTCTTTTTCCATCAGCACACATCAATGTAAATATTTAACTCTGCACTCAGAAGGTAAAGACTGGTTGAATTAACAGGAACCAAATTACGGTTGTCCACAGAAAACTCGTATTAGCTGTAAAGACACATGCAAAAATTAAAAAATAAAAGCCAATATTAGGTATGGGGATTGGGCCTGTAACCCCAGTTACTTGGGAGACTAAGGAGGATGTCTTGAGACCAGAGATCAAGAATTTAATCCCAACAACATGGGAAGAATCTGTCTCTAAAAAATAAAACTAAAAATGGCCGCATGGTGGCATGCACTCCGTACTCAGCTACTGAGGCTGAGGTGGGACAATCATTTGAGCCCAGGAGTTCAAGATTGCAGCGAGCCCTGATCCCACCATTGCACTCCACCCTGGGGGACAGAGAGAGACACGGTATCTGAAAAAAAAAAAAAAAAGAGAAAATACAAAGATACAAAAGGGCACATCCCCACTTCTGGAGGGAAGTTATCCTCACCCAGGAGACTGGTGGTTCCTATAATTCTCCACCATTACGTCTCTGTGTTAGAGTCCTCTTGTTATGGTCCAGGCATTTCCACTCCTCCTGAGAGAATTCTATGGCCACATCCCTGAATTTCAATAGACCCTGAAATGAAAACACATTTTAACCAAATGGTTATGGAGGAGTTCTTTATCTTTACAGAAAATGAGAAGAGGAGGAGAGGGAAAGCGGATTTAATTGCAGGAATGTTCTGACAAATCTGAGTGAGGGATTTCTTCAATATGTTTTGTCTTCCCAGTTGTGTTTTATTATACTTTTTTTTTTTTTTTGAGGTGGGAGTCTCACTGAGGCCCAGGCTGGAGTGCAGTGATGCAGCCCTTGGTGCACTGCAACCTCCACCTCCCAGGATCAAGCGATTCTCTTGCCTTAGCCTCCTGAGTAGCAGAAATTACAGGTGTGCGCCACCATGACCAGTTAATTTTGTATTTTTAGTAGAAACAGGGTTTCCATATTGTCTGAAACTCGATCTTCTGATCCACCTGCCGCAGCCTCTCAAAGTGCTGGAATTACAGGCGTGATCCACTGTGCCCGGCCCAGAAACTTTTATTGACACACCAAGTGACATTCAGTATCTAGATGAGACGGAGATGAGCATACCAGAGACACGTCCACAGGAACATCAGAAACTAAAAATCCGGCTGCATTATGGCACATGTCATATCCTAGCACCCAGGAGGCTGACGCAGCAGAATTGCTTGATCCTGGGAGGCAGAGGTGGCAGTGATCTGAAATCGTGCCACTGCACTCCAGCCTGGGCGACAGAGACTCCATCTCAAAAAAAAAACAGCTGGCATGGTGGCAGGCACCTGTGGTTCCAGCTACTTGGGAGCCTGAAGCAGGAGGATGGCTTAAGCCTGAGGGTGGAAGTTGCAGTGAGCTAAGATCGTGCCACCGTGCTCCACCCTGGGCAACACAGTGAGACCTGAGTCCCCCAAAATAAAATAAAATACATGAAAACTAGATTACTTCAGAGTATGGTACCATTTTATATATATATATAAAAAATATATATATATAAAACAAAATAATGAAGCCTACACAGACTCACAAAAAACTAGATGTTAATACAAAGGGTTGTCATTTTCCCCAGATTTTCAAACTGTAAAAGTTGTTCAAAATATATACATTTGTGTGTGTGCATATGTATGTATATGTATATGTGTGTGTGTATATTGTGTGTGTGGGTGTTTACATATATAAAGTTTTTAAAAATATCAAAAGTAGCAAGTTTTGTTGACCTGAAGAGGAATTCATCTTGTTGGAAAATGATACTTTGGCAGTATTATTACAGTGAGCTGAGATCATGCCAATATACTCTAGCCTGGGCAACAAGAGCAAAACTTAGTCTCGAAAAAATAAATAAATAAAACATAACTATTGGGTACAGGCTTAATACCAGAGTGATGAAATAACTCACAACAGACCCCGATGGCACTAGTTTACCTGTGTAACAAACCTTCACATGTGCCCCAAACCTAAAGTAAAAACATAAATATAAATTTATTTTTTTTGAGATGGAGTCCTGCTCTGTTACCCAGGGTGGAGTGCAGTGGTGCAATCTCAGCTT